CATTTGGGGGAATGATTTGCAATTACAATATATAACAAAATAATACAAATTAGTGGTCTTCTACTTTTCTGGACCTATACCTTGAAGTACAAGCACGTGACAGAAATTCATGCAGAACAAAAATCCACAATGGAGGCTGCTCAAGCTAACTGGGGCTATGGTATATGATTCCCATGTTTGAATAAAATATTTAAAACTTTTAAAAAATATTGGTGGATGTTAACCCCTTCCCCGAAATTACCAATGACATGTTCATGCACAGATGTTATGAGGGGATATCTAGATAATACATTAGGTTGCCTACCAATCTACCATGTCATCCAAAAATTGAGCGAGAAAAATGGGAATGACAAGAGGGAAGAAATATTTTGTGGATAACTGATTGGATAGTTTGGAAAGGGTGATAGAAATTAGCTGGAAGGGGGAGGAACCTGGGAGTCTGGGCCAGTTGGGGAGGGAGGAAGTAATCAGATGATTGGATGGGTGGCAAGGGAGCCCTGCAGTTGAGAAGTATGAGCATAGGGGGACAGAACAAAAGGGGAGGAAACAGAGACCTCTAGGGGGTTGTGGTGCCTTTTTATGTGTCCTAGTACTTTTTATGTGTCCTTTGTTATTATGATTCATTATACATATAATGTACATTGCTTGAATAAATAAAGGACACAATGAATGTGAAATAATGTATTATGTACACAGAATAAAATCCCTCTTCAACATCAAAGTGAAAAGCAGAGAACTGAAACTGTTGAAATGGTTTGGTGTTAGTCAAATTGCCTTGATTTAATAATAAATGTGGAGAATTATGAGTATTAAATGGCAATAGACATTTAATATAGGATGAGACCTGTGTAGACGGGAGTTCGATTTCCCAGTCCCAGATACAGACACAGAGGCTAGATTACTAGACTAAAGTGATTTCTTTACTGAAGGATTCATAAACATACAAATATAAAATCAACCATTCACACACACAATACAGAACTAAGAAATCACAGGTGATTGATAGATTATAGAGGGGTCAGTTATGGGGTGATATTAGCTGTCCAGATGTGCAGAGGTCCATAAAGAAGGGATTATGGCCTAAACCTCAAAGGTTTAGGGGTGGGATGCCAGTTGGCATCAGCGCAGAAGCACACAGTCTGAGGCCATGTGCCTGATGGATATATACATTGGAAAACAATGCAGACCAATGGAAGGCCTTGGGGGCTGGTCTTAGGTGAAGACAAAATATTATCTGGGCCAATGAAGTATCCCAGGGGTACGTGGCATCAGGATGGGCAAGGCCAGGATGTAACCAATGACATTCCAGAGGGGCAGAGTCAGGCTTAATAATGGCCTTGATTAAATCAGCCAGTGTACTAGGGCTACTTGAATAGATTTTATAACCATTGATGGTTCTGCCAAGGCAGTTGAATACGTTCCCAGATACAGACAAAAGATGGGAGATGGGTCCCTGATTAGCGTCAGGAAGGATCATTAATAATTTGAGTGTTTGATTGGTTTATCTCAGTATCTTGAGGGATGGAGCAAGGAAGGACAAAGAATTCACACAGACATGGGACCATACAAAAGGGCTGGGTGGGGTACTGAAATAGGGCTATTTGCCAGGTGGCTTCTGAATAGGGCTCTTTTTGTACCAGGAACTCCTTTGCATATTAGGTGACACACCCCTAATGTAGCCAGTCCTCCAAGGACTTAAAGTAGTCCCTGTAAGAACAGCTCTGTAAACTCTTAGAGGATTGGCTACATTAGGGGTGTGTCACCTAATATGCAAAGAAGTTCCTGCTACAAAAAGAGTCCTGGCTTTTAGAAGTGTAGATGTTTTACCTGGTGGAACTGTCATAAGCATATCTCTATCTCTGTTGGGTGGAGGAGAAGACTGGAGGTTTTCTCTGAGGGTTGCCTTGTTGCCACCTGAATACGAAATCCCTTTTTGCAGAGTACTTGCAGGCTGACTCTTTGGTTCAAGCTGAGAGTGCTAGACTTTTGGGGACTTTGTTTCAGGTTAGAAAGTGAGGTGCCCCTGCTTTGGGGCTACCCGAGAGTAAAGGCAGTGCCTCTGGCAGCATTGGGATCTAACTGTGAGAACACTGGACAGGTTCACAAATATTCCTTCTGAAAGGGT